TTCCTTCCCAAAAAAAAAGCCCGGCCAGGCCCGGCCCGGAACCGGAACCGGCCCGGCCCGGGTCCATGACTAATCAAACCCATTTAACCGACCATGCCCCACTCCTATTTGTAGTGACGGAGATGAGCTACAAAATTAATTTCTTTATTGAACTATGTGAATGTGACCCAAAATTGATAATAGGTAAGTCGCTATTTAACCTATTTTGGTTCCTCAAACTAGTGTTTTATTAGGACATTGTCCCGGATGAATGTTGTGAATGTTTGAATAGTCGAATACTTTTTAAGATATATTTATAGAATATATAAATAATTCGTTGTTTTACTTCAAACAAACGTTCGTTAATTGTGGGTAGTAATTTAATTAAAGATAATATATTAAAAATTGACATTGAAAAGTAACACATCACACATCAAACATTACATTGTTATATTTTGAAAAACCTCCTTATAAACAATAATTACTGTCTTGATGAAGAAATTTGCTTCTTTTAAAAGCATGACTCTTAAGTCTTAAGGTGATTTTACTCATTACCCTTGGTATTGGAATGCACACAATTAGTCATTAATGAAACTTATCTCTCAAGGTATAAATCAAATTTTATGTGATAACATTTAATCTTGACTTTTATTGATTCATTGTATACCATCACAGGAAATTGCTTTCTTCGGAAATTAAACAAAGTTGTCATATGGTGAAACTAAATACTCTTTTGCTTAGATAAAAGTTGAAGTCTAAATACGGAGCATTGATAAATTGAACATTACAAAGTAAAGAAGCCAATATATGAAAGCAAACAAGTATGACGGTGTTAGTTACATCCGTGATTGGGTGGGTAACTTGCCCTAAAAAAGTCCAATAGAGACATTTTTGCTCTAAAACTAACCTTTGCATTTTTATCTAGACCTTAATGGTCAATATGCACATTCTCCCTTACTAAACCAATGGAGAATTGTGGAAGTCACACACGCAGGCCCAGTTATGCTAGGGTTTTGCCGTTGTTCACCGATGGTAAACAATTGGCATCTCTTGGGCTTTCATTTAATCCGTGGCACCTTGCGACCATTCAGATCGCCTAATTGAAAATGAAATTAATTATCTCCTCGAATCTCGATAATCTAGAAAAGTTGAACACCGTAAGTAATATTTTCTTGTTCTATATACTTCTAGTTTAAATTATGTTTCTTTCTTTACTCTGGTATTCAATTCTCTCTTCAAACATATCTCTCAAATTCTCTTCGATTGCCGCCTCAGACACTAAGCTTCTCGATTAATTCTTCCGTCTTCATCTACCACATACGAAATCTGTGAATGCCTTTTACAATTGCAGACCGGTAATTGAGTTTTCCATTTTGGGGTTCTAGTTCTAACTTTGATGAATTTTAATTACAAGTTGTCATTAACCAGATTCAGGGCTAATGTTTTTAAACATTTAACAGTAAATCTGTTTTGTATTGCAGGTATTGTTGATTACATATAACTAGTGTTTCTTTATAGCTAATATCCAGGCCGTCCTGGTAGATAGTTTCAAACTTTCAATCATAGTTTCCAAAATTTTAAATAATATCATTAAAATACGGCTGATTTGAGGGAACATTTATTGATTTTTTTTGTTTGTATTTTTTTGTATGAACTATGATGTACCATACTTTATGTATTGATTTATATGAATTTGCTTTTGCAATAAATTTTTTGACCTCAAGGGCCCATTTTTGTTATATGTCCCGGGTCCTCAAAATGTCAGGACCGGGTCTGGATGTAACTTGCGCACATGAAGATGTTAACCGCGCATTAGAAGATGTAACGTCATGTATGATCAAATGTAATTCCAAGAATAGTATACAAATGTAACTCCCACATGGAAATGTAAACCGCACATGTAGAAATGTAATATCATGTTTTACCAAAATGTAAATCAAAATAAACAAACTCGATGTCTTAAAATCCTCTAAAAGATATAAAATGTAAAGAGTATTTTAGCAAAAAGTGTATAAATATGAAAACATATATTGCAAAAAAATGTATGAATGTAAAAAAATATCACAGAAAAAATAGTATAAGAACATGAAATGCAATATACTTATTTTATATAGATTAATGAAATTTTTGTTATGAATTTGTTAAGAATAAAAACATGGATTAAGGTTTTAGTAAAATTGGTGAAAGAAAAGTAATTGGTATGAATTAGTAAATAAATTTGGAAGTTGAGGATAAAGAAAAGTAAAATTGCAATTAAACTTTAGGGGGCGGAAACCCAGATGCCATAAGAGGCCCCAAATTCATGGGCTTGGTCTAGGGCTCCGCCGAATGAGAATATAGGATGTTAGGAAGTTTTTGCTTGGACTGGATTCAGTTATAGACCAAACTACCGAATTGGATTTAAATAAATCAAACAAACTTTAATAGATCATGCAAGATCAGACTTCTATAATTATAAATACAAAAAGATCATATATCTGTCAGACCAAACAAGATCAGACTATATTTAAACAGACCAAACTAAACCAGATCAAAAAAATTAATTCAAATAAAAAGATCCTTATTCAAAACTAGTAGACTATAGACTCTTCGCCCCATGTCAAAACTGGGTAGCAGAGCTGGTTTTTAGCATGTTCAACATGTTCTACAAAACAGGGCCTCCCGTTTTCCGGGGTCCCAATTTTTAATAAAATTATTAGTATTACACAGTTATAATGTATATAAATACTAATCAATAAAATAAAGACTGTTTGTCGGTACTTTTACCCATGTTTTACTCAAATTAATTGAGTGATGAGTTGCATTGTTTTAAATCAAGTATTGAGTGAATTTTAGATTTTTTATTACATTATTTGATGAGTATTCAATTGATTTCAGTATAAGTAGTTAGATTGAGTTTTTATTTTTATTTTTTATGTTAATATGAGGCCTCGATTTTACGTTTGGAACCGGGCCTCCAAATTCATTAGACAGCTCTGTTGGGTGGGCAACTAAACTAACCAAGCTAAACACAACCACAATGGGGTCAAAACTCGACTATTTACATAATGAAAACGGTAGATCGTGATTAGACAATTCCCAAATTGAATGTTTGATATGTAGCTTAGTTAAATAGTAGTTGAAATTAGTCCAACATAAATATTTGATATACATGTCATATATTATAAACTTGTATTTTTACGGATTTAGTCGAAGGGTTTTCGCAGCAGTGGCTGCTTCGAATGAGGCCATGTGCCTTACCCTCACACCCGGCTTAATATCAAGATTTCATATCACCCGTTTTAAGTTTAAATATTGCTAATTTTTTCAATAGTCATAACATTTTACTCGTAATGAATTATAAGAGCCATAATTTATCAAATTGAATATATTTCAGAGCTCTATACTCTCTCAGGGGTCGTTTGGCGATCTTGACCACCTGGTTCCTCCCCTGACCTTGACAAAGGTTCATTGTTTGACTGGATATAGTTTGCACCATGGTTCAAGCGGTTGAAGATTCCTTCATTTAAATAACAATTACAGAAAATAACAATTACAGAATTCACTCAAAGACAATAGATTGTGGATAATAATTTCGTGTGCATCTTTCGTGTGCATATTTCGTGTCTAACACTCAAGTAATATACGTGTTGTCAAAAAAAGAAAACCCAAGTAATATACAATGATTGATGGCCGATTACAACCCTGTTATAGGTACCCCCAATTGGTACCCCAACCTATTTTTGTGACTCACAAAAGCTCACCTCAATTATTGAATTGTCCCACTTTAATGAGATGCTTTTGTGAGCCACAAAATAGGGTGGGATACAAATTGGGGGTACCAATTGGGGTGCCAAGTGAGGCGGCAGTCACTATCCGCAACACATGTGCATTAACGATACATTTGCACATATCATGTCAGTGCATTAGTGCAACAATGCCAAATAAAGATCAATCATGACAAAATTATTCGTGTAACTTGGAATTTTTGCTAACTTGTTGTTTTGATTGTTCACTTTGTCATTGTCTTTTTAAGTAAATAATTTTTTATTTAGTTACTTCTTTCTTCTCTACACAAACATCAACCATACATTTTTTACTTTATTAATTTTCATATCGATTAAACTTAATAAAATCTAAAGAAACAGAGGGAGTAATAAAGATCAAATCATGAAAATGTAATGCTGTTTATGCGTAAACCTTGTAGAATTAGGCTATGTTTGAAACAGTTTTAACAATTTTTTCCAAACAAGCCTAGCTCATTAAGCTAGTCAGTTGAGATTCATATAAATAAAAACAATTTCTAATTCAGATAGTAGTAGTTTTCAAAAAAAAAAGAAAAGAGTCAAATAAGACCTTCATTATTATGAAATCGTCACATAAGGTCATGTACTCAATAAAGTGTCATATAAATGTGCTTACTAGTAAAAAACAATCAAATAAGTCCTAACGACCTATTTACAACCTCTTAATCCCGATTTTAGTGTTCTTGAAATCATCTTTTTATAATAGATTATACGGCACACGTCGAATATTTTTCTAGGATTGGTTGAATTACAAGTAAAAAAATTGACACGTAGGCTAATATCAGGATTAAGAGGTTGTCAAAGGGTCATTAGGACTCATTCGATTGTTTTTTATAAGTAGACATATTTATATGATACTTTATTAAGTATATGAGTTTATGTGACGATTTCATAATAGTAGAAAGCTTTATTTGACTCTTTTTCGGAAAAAAATCAGTTAGTAACTTTTAATTCAGACATTAATCTTCATAGTGGTGTCAAACATAGCCAATGAACAATTATTACAATGTTTCTATTTTAACTTGAATTAAACCACATATCCTTATTAATTATTAAACCTAAAAGTTGCAACATTCTCGTTAAGATTCAAACGAATCTATGACGGAGTACATGATTTTCGGAGTGTAACAATAATAATACGACTATAATAGGACTCCGTACGAAACATGTCAGCCCAAAACGGGTAATTCATTTTTACCATGAAACAATTTCCTGGGAAATTCTTGCGGAATTGATGGGTGAGAGGGCACCAAACCTCCTCGCTATATTTCTTCCGCTGAGATTTTGTGATTTTGATAATAAATAAATAAATAAAAATGCACCGACCACTGAGCACAACCCGACCAATCCAAGAACAAAAGGAAGACGATGCATTTATGTTTTTTCTAAAAAGAAGAAGAAAAGGAAGAACAACAAAAAACTTCTTAAATTCTTTGCTAAGGATTGATCGATTCATCAAGAAATATCATCTTCTCGGTCCCCGCTTGAGTCAATCCAACTGTACGTTATTACATATATTCGAGCTGGTCCTGTTTCTAGATTATGTATCCTGATTTCAATAAAGATCTGTTTTTTCTTCTTTGTCGGGCTCGTTTACATTAGCATTCATCTGGATTTTTAATTTCTTATCTGCTCTTGATTTTATATCATATGTTTGAGCATGATTTGTATTATTATTATTATTTGATTGAAAGAACTCTGGAAATGACCCCCCACTGTGATTATTTCAAATTTTGTGGAAATCCTTACTTTGGGTTTTATAATTATATGCTATGCCTTTGGTTTTTAGCTTTGAATTTGGAGCTTACAGATTTTTTATAGCAATTTGGTCTTGGGTAGTAAATATTCGATTCACCCGGTAATCCAGTAATAAATTTTGAATGTCCTTACAAATTGTGATTTCAGGCCGTACCTAAATTTTGATTCCTGTCTGGTTAACATGTTTTTTGCTCTCTTTTTTGTTTTGTTTTATATTGGTTTCTCTTCTATGTGGTTTCTTTCAGAGGAACTAATCTGCTCAAGGGGGGGACATAAATACGTTACAGCCTCTTCCTAGGATGACAATTGAAAACGTTAAACATAGTAATAAAGAAAGGAATCCAAGGAAGAGCAATGGATTTGGGGTTAATGAGAAGTCGCCGCTGTTGCCTAGTAAGAACGAGGAAGGTTCCGGGTTCGATGAGTTCAATGGGGCTTCTTTTAGCGGAGCTGTTTTTAATTTGTCAACCACTATTGTTGGGGCTGGAATTATGGCATTACCTGCAACTATGAAAGTTTTGGGTCTTATCTTGGGGGTCGCTGTGATCATAATCATGGCATTCCTGACAGAAGCTTCAATTGAGTTTTTGCTAAGGTTTAGTAGGACTGCTAAATCAACTTCTTATGGAGCTGTTATGGGGGATGCGTTTGGGAAGTACGGGAAAATGATGCTCCAAATATGTGTCATGATCAACAATGTTGGTGTGCTTGTTGTCTACATGATTATCATAGGTATGAAACAGCTCTTCACCATTTTTGCCACTTCCCATCCCAGAAAAGAGTCCTATTAAAGATTTGTTTTTTCATGATAGATCTGTCCTATACTCCTATTTGGACAAAAGAAGCTATTTTTCATTATATCTACAGTATTCTATTTTCCAGAGTTGTCCCAAGCAATATAAGTATACCAAATCTAGTTAAGCCGACAAATTAGTTTTAAAATACAGGTAAAAATCCTGTAAAATAATTGATTATTTCCACCATTTGTACTGTACTAAAGTTAGACTCATACCTTAGTGATTATTTCCAATAGGTGTACCATAATATTAAAGTAAAAAGACCCCTTTTTGTATGGAGGTATCAAATTCTTTATTTTTATGAATAATATCCATTTATAACATTTTTTTAGTTATTGGTATTCTTTTTGTGATTTCAAATAGGTGATGTGCTTTCTGGAACAACCGAAAGTGGAGTTCATCACAATGGTGTTCTGGAAGGGTGGTTTGGGATGCACTGGTGGAATGGGAGATTCTTTGTCCTTTTGGTTACTACTATTTGCATATTTGCACCACTGGCTTGCTTAAAACGCATAGGTAATTTTTTAGGAAATAAATGCTTGAAACCATTTGCTAAAAGCTGTTACCGAAAGTGTTAAAATCTTCATTGCTCTCATTAATTCCAATAAATTGAATTTATTTTTTGTTTTTCTATACATACAGAGTTGTTGAGAGCTATAAATAGAATTAACTCATAATTTAATATAAGAATGGAGTGTTTGGTATTTCTTTCCCCACTTGTCCTATTTGAATTGTGATCATATCATGCCCGCCTAATCAAGTAATCATTTATTGTTATTGCAGATTCATTAAAATTTACATCTGCACTGTCAGTTGCACTGGCTGTTGTTTTCCTTGTTGTGACTGTGGGAATAACCGTATACAAGATTATAAATGGAACTATTGTGAAGCCCAGATTGCTTCCAGATGTTTATGATCTGACTTCATTTTTAAGGCTATTCACTGTAGTCCCTGTCCTTGTCACAGCTTATATCTGCCACTATAATGGTATGCAATATTGGTGTGAATTTTTTTCTATATTTAACCCACTCGAGTTTTGATTTTGTAAGAGGCATCAAAACTGTTAAAAATGTGAATCCGTTTCGAACACGACAAGTAGTAGGAAAAGAAACCAGTAAGGAAGAGAAGAAGATAATTGGAAGTAAAGGAAATTAGGGAGGGGGGTATATGTGAACAACCGCAATAGTTTTTATTTTGCTCAAGCTCATTTTATTATGTATTTCATTATAAAAAGACAAAAAAAATCTGAATATATCTGGATATTCCTAAGAAGTTGCTTACCTAATAAAATTCCAAGGTCACATAATTGCTATTAGTTTCTTGTTGAAAAGCATATTCCAAGGTGAGGCCAAGCATTATAAACTAACTTTCTTTGACAGTTGCCCCCTTGCCTAGCATTTTGGGGATCCAAACATACCATGAGTTAAGGTTGTCAATGAATCTTAAAATCTCATGATTATGCTGGTAGAAATGCTAAAGGTATGTGTGGATCATCACGAAGAATGCTAGGGACAGGAAATATATTGCTAATGAAAATTAAATTCTTCTGTTTGGTTAAATCCTGGAAAATTCAAGGGAAAGCAAAATATGATTAGGTTTCTTACATGAATTTATATTTTGTATCTTTAAATAATAGGCATAAATAAAGCTAGTACCCACAAAGTTTCTAATATAAATTCTGTTGAGTTTTATCATATCATTTATTTACTCCCACATTTTTTTCATTATAGTTTTCCTATATGTCCTCCCTCCCTCCTAGCATTTTCTGAGTTGCAATCAAACCCTAAAAATAGTGAGTTTCCTTCAGAAGTTGCAATGATCAACTATACTGAATTTTCTTTCAAAAAATTATAAAGATTTCGAAGCTCTTGAGGTATTCATGTTGATAAAGTACATGAGCACAGAATAACACCGATATTAATGGCTCCTAATAATAATAATAATAATTAATTTTTAACTCATATCCTGATAGACCAGGCAGATTCTTGAAGAATACCCCTTTTTTGATAATATAGTATTTTTCAGTTCATACCATTGACAATGAACTCGAGGACAACACACAGATAAAAGCAGTGGTTAGGGCCTCACTCACGCTTTGCTCAAGTGTCTATGTATTAACAAGCATCTTTGGATTCCTCTTGTTCGGCGATGAAACTCTTGATGATGTTCTTGCAAACTTCGACACTGATCTTGGAATCCCATTTGGTTCTGTTCTCAATGACATTGTCCGTGTCAGCTATGTTGCACACTTAATGCTGGTCTTTCCTATCGTCTTCTATCCATTGAGGCTCAACTTGGATGGTTTGATCTTCCCATCTTCAAGGCCTTTGGTGCTTGATAATGCGAGGTTCGGATTGGTTAGTGGTGGGCTTATATCTGTCATCTTCCTGGGTGCAAATTTCATTCCCAGCATTTGGGATGCTTTCCAGTTCACAGGAGCAACGGCTGCTGTTTGTGTTGGGTTCATATTTCCTGCTGCTGTTACGCTTAGGTAACTCTCTATTAACTTGTGACTGAAGTTAATAGGAAAAGCACCTTATCTTGTGCGGTTGTGCCTTTGGACTTGCATGTTTTACTATTGTCCTTTCCAATCTTATATATTTATATTTTTAGAGAAAACTGTCAAATAAGCCCCCGTACTATACCAGAGAAGTCAATTAAACCCTCCTACTTTGAAAACACCCAATTAAACCCCCAAACTTCTAAAAAACGTTCAATTAGACTTTTTATCAGGTTAAGAACCGGTTTCCCGGTTGACTGCTCACGTGGCAACCCCGTGGCAGGCCACATGACGATTATATTCTTTTTTCCTTTATTTTTCTCCTTTTTTCTTTTCTATTTCATTTTCTATTTCTCTTTCCTATTCTTTTGCTGGTTCTCCTCTTCCCAGACTTATGTATCTGTCGTTCCCCGTCTTCCCATGACTTCCGTCACTTCCCATTCTGCCTCCCTGGCGGCTTTATTGTAAACTCAGGTGGCTTTCTCCTTCATATCCAAGAACCTGAGCAAACACGGCTCTTCTTGTCGCGACCTCCGACGAACTCCGCAAAGGGGCGGCAAATCCAGTGAAGGGGGCTCCTCTCTATGCGAACAGGAAAAGTCAACGGAGCTGGTTCCGACTGCGGCCATTTGACCCTGTTGTTTTAGGCTCAAATCGAGAAGCAAATTGAGAATCTCAATTTGAGATCTTCCGGTACCGAAGCAATTTGAGAATCTCAATTTACTTTGGCGGCTTCTTCCGCCGAATTGAAGGTTCAGAGCAAACGTGCGGCTGTTCTTGCCATAATCTCCGGCGAACTCCGGCAGCAACTTTGGCGACGACACCCTCTCTCCGGCGAAGGAAGCCTCTCTACTCTCTGTCAATGGAAAAAAAGAAACAACGAAACAAAGAGAGAAAGAAATCACGAAAGGAAAAGTGAAAAACAAAGAGGAAGAGGAGTGAAGAGGGGAAGTAAGGTCCCTGGGAAGATGAATATAAGGAACGGCAGAAAACCAGAAAAGAAAAGGGTAGACAAAAAAAGAAGGGAAAAAGAAAAAGGAGAAATAATAAAGAAAAAAGAATACAACTGCCATGTGGCCTGCCACGTGGCTGCCACGTGAGCAGTCAACCGGGAAACCAGTTTTTAACCTGCTAAACAGTCCAATTGAACGTTTTTTAGAAGTTTGGGGGGTTTAATCGGGTGTTTTTAAAGTACGAGGGTTTAATTGACTTTTCCGGTATAGTACGGAGGCTTATTTGACAGTTTTCTCTTATTTTTATTATACTCTATAAAGATTAAGAAATCTAATCATATGAAAAAAACTTTAATCACATTTCATGTTTGTTTCTTTGCATTGTCTATGATAAAACAAAACACAAGAATTTTAAAACAATTCTTAGCATTGTAGTCCTTTCTCTTTCCGATATCCAAACACACCATATAGTATGGTTATAAGTTATGACAACAATTTCACATTAAACTGTCAACTAAATGGTGAACCTGGAGTGAACTTGGCATTTTTCTTTCGGGGGAAGGGGCCAATCTACTAAAATATATTTAGAAATCCTGGCATAGCATTTGACTATATAGTGTTTTCATGTTTCAGGGATAGGTATGGCATATCAACAAGAAAGGATAAGATATTATGTACCTTTATGATAGTCCTGGCAGTGTTATCAAATCTGATCGCTATATACAGCGACGCCTATGCGTTGTTTAAGAAGAAAGCATTGGTGCCCGCATGATTGCAGATACGTGATCATATAATATACCGAGTATATATTTGTATAGGGAAAGTAGCAATTTTTATTGGAACTGATGATGATTTTGAATAAAGATGAATATGCATTCTGCTCAATATTGAGCTGAGCAGACAGCAGTGCTACCAAAAATGCATGTATGTAGTAGAGTTTGTTTTGTATTATTAGAAGGTTGCAATGTACTAATAAAAAATGGAGTATTTGTTAGTTAATTGCGCATTATCATTCAAGTATCAATTGATTTTTTTATTTTTTAGTTTATTCAGAAATATCAATTTAACTCCCTCTATTGATATCTGTTAGGTTAAAAACAAAAATATCAAATATTTCACTTACATTAATTTATTAAGATGTTGTTCATTACTCCATATGCTACGAAATAAAATATTATCTGAGTTTTGCCAGAATTCTAAGATATATAAAGTGGTAATGTGGAAAACATAAAATGTCTGAGATTCATACTAGGAGATGATTTTGCAAGTGTTTTTATAAAACAGGGCCGATGAAATGTTATTTAGGGTATTTTTACTTGATTTGTTTTCTGTCTCAGATAAGTTCAGAACGGACTAGATTTAAATTTATGAGTAAAAACATCTTAATTAAAGAATCGTATGAATAGCTCACAAAGAGAAATTATAACACAAATATATACCCATCAAAGACAAAATATACAGTAATACATTCCGTTATTCACATTTCACTTTCTTTTTTAGGACATTTCCAAATTATTGTCCAACTTTTTTTTTTTAAATTTAATTTACTCAAAAGAATGATACAATACATTAATACTCTGTATACAAAGAATTATTTGTAGTATATATTTTAATTTCCAAATACATATTTGGAAATTATTAGTACAGAATCAAAAAGTCATTTTCACATCTTTACAAAAACTTTCACATGAAAGGGAGGGAGAGAGAATAGGAAAAGACTGACGGAAATGAAAGATGGTTGTTACCTGCTTTTCAATACTTCAAGATCTGGTTGATAAGAAAGAAAAGGAGATGGTGAGAGTGAATCGCAGCAATAGAAAATTAAAATCGAATTTTAAGGATTTCTTTGAAACTACCTAACAATAAGCAATGCAATGGCTAATCGCAAATCTCTCGTGCGAAGAAAAGAACATTTGAACCTTTCAATTTTACTCACTTTTTAGAATTCTAGCCTTGACCCGTTTTGCAAGCCATTGCTAATTCATCCCTTAACTTAATACATTCGGCATTTTATGGCCATTTATAACATTACGTAGCATAAAATGTTCTTTCTGTGAATGCAAGTCTGCAAGGTGTTTGATTGAGTGCCCCTTTCACAAAATCCTGCTAGATTTTTTATTCAATTATTATCCACAGAGGGTATCAGCTGGAGAGAATTTGAAAGAGTGATTATACAGGTACCTTATAAAGAATTAAACAAGAAGAATTGAAAAATGGAGGATAACTCAGGAGCCCCAGGAAAAAAACATGGAACCACCACTCGCCGGCGTTATCTAGCCAGAGAATTTGGTTCCAGGTTCAGGTCGCCCATTGATCTATCTGCTAGGCGTAGCCTTTCCCCAAATCTCAGGCAGGCAGAAGTGATTTCAGTGAGTGGAAAAACATCACCCGGGGCTTTGTCAGATCATGTGTTGAAGCAACCAGCAAATGCCATCCAGAATCAGACCGAACCACTAAGAAAACCCTCACCTGAAAAGAAGAGAGTTTCTCTTGAGGGAAACAGTTTTGCAGATCAAACAGAAAAATCTAGACCTTCAGATGCTTTTTCTTTGAATTATAGGACGGATTATCATAGACAGTCAAACACGTCAGATGGCAAACCTTCCTCAGAATCAATGGAAAAAGGTATTCATATGAGAAAAGAGGAAAAAGTAAACACGTTGATACATCACCTCTTTCAGGATCAGAAGCACTTTCTTACAAAGACTGTCTTTGGATGCAGCTAATGGACCAACCCAAGATGAACCTTCAAGACCGCTACCATTTGTTAGAAATGAGAAACAAGGCATTGGGTTTCTCTCAGTTGATGATAATTCACTGACAATAAGGAATGGATCACCAACTGGAGGAAATGCGCAATCTTTGTCAATGACAGCGAATACCAGATCATTGAGTAGTCTACACTCTGAGCTCCTGGACAGGTGGCCAAGTAGAACATGCGGGAAAGCAAGTTCTGATTCTTCAAATAGAGGTAAAACCGATGAGCTTTCCAGACCACTACAGAAATTTTCGACAGAAGGTGTGAGATTTTTTCCAGAGAGTTATAGTTCAACAGGCAGTTCAAATTGTCAGCGGTTAAATCAGAGTAGATGGCGAAGAACAACAGGAGAGAACGTAAGGGTTGGTTCTTTTTCAATAGATTCTCAGCCATCACAAAGAGACAAAACATCAACTGTATATCCTGGCTCTCTATCTCGCCATACCTCACCAATCAGAACGCCTACATTGCCTCCCTCGTCATTGCCTATAAGAGTTAATCCATCTGACATGAAGGCTATAACAACTGGGGCATCGATCTTTTTAGCTAAATCACGAGCATTGTCATTGGACGGAGCTACTAAACCACTCCAAAGCTCATCTGTTGACATGCTATCACTAATACTATCAAATGAACGTTCAGAAGCAGACTCGGGGATTCAATTGGTTGGTAATAGTTCGATGGAACTTGAAAACAAAAGAAAACTATCACTTGATGATAATTCTTTGTCCATACCTAGGGAAAGAGCAAAGTTGGTGAATCGTGGAACTAGATCTCGTCCTACCTCGCCTAATAAAGCATCTGCTATGTCTTTCTATGTATCTAAAGAAATCTCGTCTCCAACAAAGGCTCTACCAAGTGCTCCATCAAGAGGAGCTAGTCCTTCTAAGGTTAGGCCATCTAGCCCGTCGAGACTTCCCAATCCAGCCTTCAATTTTGTGGTGAATATAAGGGAAAACGATGAAAATCGTCAAACAGAAGATGCTCATCGACTTGGACTATTACAGAATAGATATTTGCAATGGCAATATGCTAATGCGAAAGCAGATGCTGCAATACTTGCAGAGAATGTTAATACACAGGTTGGCTCTTTATTTTCTGAGTATTTCTTATTTATCCATTCCAATATACTATTTGACCAGGTTTTAGTCCGATTTCGATTTTGGCTGCAGGAAAAGGTGTATAATGTACGAAAAACTGCTTCAAATTTGTGGCAAACAATCATTCAGATGAGAATTGAGCTTCAACAGCTGAGGTTAGAGTTGAAGTTATGGTCAATTTTGAATAAACAGGTAATGATCTTTCTGAAATTTTGTTCCTTATAGATAGAACCATTGTTCGTTACTATGACTACTGTCTTACTGGCATAGTTTTGAAACTGCTTCAATGTGCATCAGATGTCCTGTCTCGAAAAATGGGCTACAATTGAAAAGAACCATATACGTTCAGTTCTGCGAGCTAGCCAAGATATGAAAGCATGCGTTCTGCTTCTTCCCATGACATTAGGGGCAAAGGTACGGTACACAATTTAATTAATCAATATTCATTTAAAGTTGATGGGTTAAACAAGAAATGCATGTATACAAAATACATTTTATACTTTATCTGCTTGATATAGGGTGATGTTCAAGCTGTAAAGTCAACTATTTGCTCAGCTTTTGTTATCATGCAGCATGTGGAATCATCAATATATTTAATGCTCTCGCAAGTGAGTATCATAAATTATTCCTTGCGATCACATCTATGATATTTCCCCATAATTTAAAATAGTAGTTTTACTAATTCCAGATAGGCCATTTTATGATCTTTAAAGTAAAAAAATCCTCAGATGTTTTACTACAAATGATAGCTTTGGACATTTAATTAACAAACACGCAGCTAACACCCAGGTGCTGGACTACGAACTAAATGTATAAATGTATTTTGTCTTCTACATTACAAAATACAAGAGGCTGAATCTGAATAATCTAATTACATGATGCATGCAATTATATGGTCTCTTTTTCCTTCTTTTTGTTTTTGGGGGCGTGGGCCGCGTAGATGAGCCGATGAGTTACATTTCAATGGCACTGTGGTGTCAGTTGTGGCCTATGTGGGGTTAGGTTTAAATAATTTTAAACACTTATTCTTTACAACAAAGAATAAGTGTGTATTTAAACCTAAAATTTATCTAATTTGGGGATTTGGCATTTCATCTCATGCATGTGACAGCTAGAGGGAACAAGCTCTATGGTTGCTGAACTTGCTGGCATTGTGGCACAAGAAAGAGCCATGCTTGATGAATTTGAATTATTAATGGCTCCAATAGCAAAAATGCAGGTGATGTTACAAATTTGGTTGCATACGTTGTCATGTCCTGGCACCTCCCTGTCTAGTGCTAGTTTTCACATCTAGTTTAGTCATATTTCACCAGGATTTTGGCTTTAAAAAATTCTAATAACAAATATGATTTTTCAATACATGTATTTGAAAAAGCTACTGGGTATATACAAAACCATACTTTTAGAAATGTTGGAAGCAATATGCCTTAACATATGGTCACGTTTAGTTCTTGTTGATTATTTAGAAACGGCAAACAATGACAAATATGTTGGGGAAGCTGGAGAAGCATAATACTCCATATATACTTCTTTAGTGTGCACAAAGTATGTTTCACTTGATTTCCTGTAGTTGCTTAGCTGCTTGTCATTGAACATGTGTGAGTTAGAAATAAAAGCGAGATTACTCTGTCACTATAAGATCTGTTTGGAGCTTGGAAAGTGCTATATATGGGGGATATTTTTGAAGGAAGAAAATGTGGGGGGGGGGACAACATCCACTCAAACTCAACAAGTTATGTAGCATTTTTTTGTGTGTTCAGAGTCATTTTTATTTATATATTTATTTCCTTCTATTATTAAAAGACTAAGAATTTTAAGCATATGCAAAAAAGTTAAAACAGTAATCAGATTTTATTCTCCTTTGCATTTTTAGAGGTAAAACCAATCACAAGAAAATAACTTTCTAGCTTCCCCTAGCATTTTCTGGGATTTGGACATACCAATAGTGATAAATATCTAGCAATGAGACAAGTCTACAACATTTTGCATCATGGTGATGTCGTAGTCTTGGAAACAAAAAGTTTGGTTTTCCCTTTCCTTGATTCATCTGTGATGTACATTAAAATATAAGTTCACATGACTATGGAAAGTAGGCAAAGTCATATTGTTTATGGACCCAATATATATTGGTTTCATTTATCTCAACTCATTTTTGGAGTTTTCT